GCAAAGGGTTTCCCCATTATATCCATGCTCTACGAACGGTAATGATGAAGTGGTATCCGACCTCGGGTTTCGCATTCATCATTAACCAACAAATCAAACTTTTTCACTTCCTCTTCAAACTCAGGTAAAAGTAACACATCTTTTTCATCAAGATCACTTTCGTTCCTCGGCGAATAACCGATTAAACAATATTCTCTACGATTCTTCTGCATTTATGCATCTACACTCTACATAAGAACAAAAAACAGATCAAAATTTCTAATTTGTTTCTATCTATGATCAAATAAGTCAAAACTAAAATTAGCAACTTTACGCCGATTTTTTTCAACTTACATCAATGGAATTATTGGAACTGTCTCTGTATCCATGATCTGAAATTGACAAAACCCCTCTTTAAAGATTAGAATCCAATGAATGTGTAAACCAATCAAATAGTATTATACAGAAAAACCAATCAAATAGTATTAAACCCACAAAGGCCCGAGAATAAGTGTTACAAACACAACCCACAATTTAATTAAGTGTTATCTCGGCCAATTTTTTCTTATTTTTATTTGACTAATTAAAATGGTACCATATTGTAGGGAAAAACTATCTATTTTCCCACCATAACTTTGACATATGCATATATGTCTCCCAAATGTTACGCTCCATATAGATTTCCACAAACCAAAAGTTAAATGTGTATATCTCCACGATGTGGAAGTTAAATGTTTATATCACCACCAAATCCGATTTCGTGTTTATTTACCCACAACGATGGTTTACTGTTTTGGAAACATTACTTCACCATTGGAAACCATTTAACCCGGATTAATACGTATTTTAACCACCAAGAGCCAGTAATCTTATCAGACATCATATTTTTAAGTAGACATTGAGATATACGTGCATCACTCATGGAAACTTTAGGTAACATGCAGATGAACGAAGACATATTTTTCTCTTCAAACCAAATTCAGTTTCCAGAAATACTAGTTTACACTAACGGTATAAGAGTTTAATAATAATATGATATTGACCTAGAATATATTTGTTAAGAAATGATAATTAAAATTTTAAAACTGCATATAAAAATGCACTTTCATCGCCGGCACGTCACGTTACCGAGAGACCTAAAAAAAGGTTTATTCATCGGAAGTTTCAATTA